AACAACATTTAAAGAAAACGATAAGGCATGTGAAGCTCCAGACGAGTCGACTCATCAGTCACATCTGGAAAGTTTGCCGTGTTCGCGTATTCGTCCAGTTCCTCTAAAGAGAGGGTGGGCATAGTCGAGTTGATTGGTGACTGAGAGTGAACTAGAGTATAATCTTCATAGGATTTCTCACTCTTTTGTGGAGCTTCAGGAACGGGATACCAACGAAAGGTGGGTGATGAGTGCTTGTTTACACTTTTTAAAACCATTTTCCTTTCGTTTGCCAAACGTTTGGCTTGTTCCAGACAAAAAGCTTTCTTGGCCTGAGATTCATTGACAGTATTGTCCAGAATCTCTTTTTCTTTCAGGGTAGTCGTGTTTGGCATGGAGAATGTTACGTTGACCCTATCACCATCTTCCACTAGTTTCAAGATTGTGGCATTTGTGAGTTTGCTTGCTTCTAGAAGATGGTGATCACGCCGAATAGCTCGTTTCTCGGCTTCGTCCATCTTTCCTTTGCCCTTATCCATACCTGCAAGTGTTACTCACTAAAATACTAGATTTGTGAGTAAAGTTCGTTGAAGGAGGTTCTGATTTATAGGTGCAAAGGTTACGTGCAGATATGTTCAAAAGATTTTAGATGACAGTGTTAGATTTCGTGTTAAAGACGCAATCAGAAAATTCGAGACATAGGATTTCAATAATAAATATAAACCATAGAAATACGAGATTTATTTAAGATAAACATAACCACAGCTTATCAAAGTGACCTAAGATGATTCTTTAGGTCTTTTTCTTCTTGCTGCTAGCTGTGGACTTGAGAGGGGAGGGCATTTTCGGAAGAGTGCTTGATGGTGAGTAGTCGAAACTGTCACTCCTTTCTAGCATACTGTCCACATTGGCATAACCTATGGTGTTGCTAACCGAGTGAAAAGATTCATGTGATTCGTGTTCCGTTGGATCACGAAGGAGATTTTGCAGATATTGTGAGCTTGCTAGAAATTTGTTTAGGATGCCCTCGTCTCCAAGAGGATCATGGAAGATTTCAGTTTCTTCTTGTTTCTTCTCTGTGATTGTCGTTTTTGCTTCATTTTCTGTGCTCATACCTGCAATCACAGATTACTCGAACAGTATTAATTAGAATAAGAGGTTAGGGTGAGTTCATTGTACCATCCCTTGTCCGTTTATATAGCTCGAGATTTATTGCGTGACATGTTGGATAAGTTGCTTTCTTTTTGTCTTCCCGAGATATGCTTTATGGAATCATTTCAGGAATCTCTGGTCTCTTAGACTTCTTAACACGCCAACGAGTTATGTCAACTCAATCATTCCAATCTCATGTTGAAGTGTAGCAAATCTATTCTCACATAGTGGTTTCGTGAGTATATCTGCCAATTGATCATCAGTATTAACATATACAAGAGATATGTTCTTTTTCTCAACATGGTCACGAATAAAGTGATACTTGATATCAATATGTTTTGTGCGAGAGTGCAAAATAGGATTGTGCGTGATTGCAATTACACTTGTATTGTCACACTTAATTTTCACTTCTCGTGCTGTCACTCCATAATCTTTTAACTGATGGATCATCCATAATATCTGTGCACAGCAGCTGCCAGCTGCAATGTATTCGACTTCAGCAGTGCTAGTTGCAATAGAGTTTTGCTTTTTGCTGAACCAAGATACAAGTCTTCCCCCTAGGAACTGGCAGGTTCATGAGGAACTCTTTCGGTCAATTCTACAACCAGCAAAATCAGCATCTGAATAGCCAATCAGATCAAAAGAATTTCCTTTCGGGTACCAAAGTCCTACACTTTGGGTTCCCTTTAGGTATCTTAAGATCTTCTTAGCAGCACTTAGATAACTATCTTTCGGTTTGGATTGAAATCGTGCACATACGCCAACCGCAAAAGAGATATCGGGCCTACTGGCTGTAAGGTAGAGAAGAAACCCGATGATCCCACGAAAGTTCTTTTGATCAACATCTTTTCCCTCATTATCAACATCCATTCTTAGGGATGTGCTCATAGGGATTTTAACAGAGGACTTTCCATCAATTCCAAATTTTTGAATTAAGTCCTTTGTATACTTGGCTTGATTGATGAATATCCCTTCCGGACATTGCTTAACTTGCAAGCCGAGAAAATAGTTTAATTCTCCCATCATGCTCATCTCGAATTTGCCTTGCATAAGGTTGGAGAATTTTTCACATAAATCTGGATTTGTACTTCCAAATATGATGTCATCAACATAGATTTGAACTAGTAGGATATGATCATTGTTCTTGATACGAAAGAGCGTTTTATCAACAGCCCCTTTCGTGAAACCACAGTTGATAAGAAAATATGAGAGTGTATCATACCAAGCTCGTGGAGCTTGTTTTAATCCATATAGGGCCTTTTTGAGATGATAGACCTTTTCTTGTCCACAATCAATAGCAAAACCTGGTGGTTACTCGACATATACTTCTTCTTCAAGAAGTCCATTTAAGAATGCAGTTTTGACATCCATTTGATAGACTTTAAAGTCTTTGTATGCTGCATATGCTAGAAACATTCGTATAGCTTCAAGTCTAACTACTGGGGCGGAGGTTTCATCAAAATCAATTCCTTCTTCTTGACAGTAGCCTTTAGCAACAAGACGAGCTTTGTTCTTAACAATGAGTCCATCTTCACTCATTTTGTTTCTAAAAACCCATTTGGTTCCAATGACGTTTTGATGTGTTGGTCTCGAAACAAGTTCCCATACATTATTTCGTTCAAATTGATGAAGCTTTTCTTGCATGGCTATCACCCAGTCAGGATCACTCAGAGCTTCTTCTATGGATTTTGGTTCTATTTGAGATAAGAAACATGCCATCATATTCTCATGAACATTAGCCCGAGTTCTTACTCCTTCTTGGATATTTCCTATGACTTGATCAGGAGGGTGGTCTTTTAACCATCTAAGATCGGGTTCAAATGCACTTTGCTGATTTTGTACATTCATCTCAGGAATATAGGGTAGCTCAACGTAAATCATGGGTTCAGATGTTGCTTGGATATCAAGAGTATTCTGTTGCATGCCATCACCTTTTTGAGCTAAAGCTTCAGGTTCAGATGGCTTCATCTGATATCTCGTGTAGGAGGATAGAATATCTTCATCATCTGAAATTTCTTCTTCATTTGGTTCTGGAGAGCTTTGATTCGGATTGATAGATGATTTAATGCCAATAGGATTTTTCTCGGATTTCTCGTCGAACTTGACATGTATAGATTCCTCGATAACCATTGTTCTTTTGTTTAGAATTCTGAAAGCCTTACTTACTGAAGAATAGCCCATGAACAATCCTTCGTCTGCTCTTTCGTCGAAAGCTTTCAGATGATTCTTCCCATTGTTGTGAATGAAACACCTGCAACCAAAAACATGAAAATAACCAACACTAGGTGTCTTACCTTTCCATAGTTCGTATGGAGTTTTGTTGTGTGACTTGTTGATCAAGGATCGATTCTGTGTGTAGCATGCTGTGTTTACAGCTTCGACCCAAAACCGCTTTGGTAAGCCCGAATGTGCAATCATGGTTCGTGCAGCTTCTTTCAAAGTTCTGTTCCTTCTTTCGGCTACTCCGTTTTGTTGAGGAGTTCGTGCTGCCGATAGTTGATGGAAGATGTCGTTTTGTCCACAGAATTCTTTGATAACTTTGTTAACGAATTCAGTTCCTTGATCTGATCTTATTCGGATAATCTTGACTTCCTTTTCTGTTTGAAGCTGTCTCAAGAGGTTTGGTAGAACAGTTTCTGTTTCATTCTTTTTCTTCAAGAAGAGTACCTAGGTATATCTCGTGTGATCATCTACTACAACGAGAGTATACTTTATTCCACTTAGGCTAGCTTGATCAACTGGTCCGAAGAGATCCATATGTAGAAGATTTAAAGGTCGAGAGTTTGCATCCGTGTCTTTGGATTTGAAGGATGATTTGATTTGTTTTCCTCTTTGACATGCTTCACATATCTTGTCCTTCACGTAAGTTGCTTTCGGTAATCCTTTAACGAGATCTTTCTTGGCAAGCTTGTTGATTGTCTTTAGATTTAGATGACTCAACTTGTTGTGCCATTCTTGGCTTAAATCTGCATTATTCTTAGCAACAAGACAAACGTTAGTGTTAGATGAATTCCACGAAACTACGTACATGTTTTTCTTTCGTTGGCCTGTTAGAACAGTTTCACCATCTCTCGTGCTAATTACACTGCATTTGTCTTTGAGAATTCAACTTTGTAGCCTTTGTCACAAAATTGACTTGTGCTTAGAAAATTGAATTTTAGCCCTTCAACGTATGATACATCTTGAATGGTTACTCCCTTTTTAATGATGTCTCCTGTTCCACGAGTTTTGCCACTAGTTTCACCTCCAAAGATGACTTTAGGTCCGTCAACTTCTTTGAAATTGCTCAATATTGCTTTGTCACCAGTCATATGTCTTGAGCATCCACTATCAACATACCATATGACCTGTTTATCCTGCAAGAAAGATTATACATTTTTAGGTACCCCTTGAGTTGCGGGTCCTTGAGGGTTAGATGTCAACTTTGGGATCCACATGAACCTAGGGTTTCCTTGACTCATCCTTGGTCCTCTATATCCATTAGATGTACGATAATCATAACTGATCTTGGCAAAGGTTTTAGCATTGTATCTTTCTCGAAAGTATTCTGCCGGAGGATTGTGATACTGCTTGAAATAATTAGTTTGTTTACGCAGATGTATTTTCTCAAATTCTTCTCTTGATAGAGGTTCTGGGTAAACAAACCAATCTTCCTCTGATGGCCCAGTGCATCCATTGCCATATCCAGATCTTTTGAAGGATATTTCGTCTTGTATGTTTTGTCGATTTCTCGGGATTCCTTGAGTAGGATTCTTTCGTGTAGATTTTGGACGATATTGCCTCTAATTAACATTCGACATTTTCCTAGATTGAATATCCTTATAAGGGTGACCCTTTTTATGGTGTAGATTTTGTCCATTGCCATTTGGTCAATTCCTTTTGACATATCTATGTCTAGGATTGCCTTTGAAGGATTTTTCAATTCTAGGTTCCATAATTCGTTGTACAACCTTTCTTTTCGTTTGGCTTGTTGATTGTGGCATAGCGATACTGTTATCTTTCGTCATAGGCTCAGACATCTGGGTAGGGCCTTGAATAAATGCTGATTGAAAACTCTCCTGAGAGTAAGCATTAGTGGATTTGTTCAAGCCGGTTTGTGAAGAGGAGCTGGGGTCAAAACCAATTCCCGTTCTTTCCCCGGGAAATCTTGATCCATTCACCATTTGGTCCATTAGTTTGGACGAATTGTTGAATGAATTCAAGGTTTCACGTAATTGTTGCTCCCTCTTTTCTCTTTCTGTACACTGCTCTTTCAGAGCGAGAACATTTTCCTCAAGTTGCTTCTTAGCAATGGCTAGCTTTATGTTCTCAATTCGAACTTGCCTTAGCGCATTGTAGCTAATCATAAGCCGAGAGTTCTCCTCTTTCAATTTAGAGTATGTGTTTTTTATTATCTTGAACTCCCTCATCATTTCGGTAACTGATTCATTGGAAGCTTGACTCCTTATAGAGCTAGACTCTGCTGAATAACAAGAGGATGATTGTGAAGTTACCTCATCATCATCGGCCATAAGGCATAGCTCATCTGACTCTTGGCTGAACAGACACAGCAGCCCTTTTTCTTCTTCAGTACTGTCATCATCCGAACTTGAGCTTGAGGAACTGCTTTCGGCTTCAATATTTTCAGATGTTTCGTTTACTACCATAGCTTTCCTTCTTCTTTCGTTTCTGGAGTTCGATGATTCTGGCTTGTCATTTCTCTTGTAGTTTTCTCCAGCTTCTTTGGATGGGCTTTTGGTAGTATTGCAATCTTGATGCTTACTGACAATTGGATGAGGACAGTTTTCCTTGAAATGCCCTGGCTTCCGACAGTTGTAGCATAGCAATTGCGAGTCTGATGTCTCTTGCTTTGAGGTTTGAGGTGAACTCTCGTGTTGCCTTCGGTGTCCCGAGCGATGAGAATCTTGGAAGTTGTTCTTCCTCATAAACCTCTTCATTTTCCTAACAAATAGGGCATATTGTTCATCAGATAAAAAATCACAAGAGTTAGATTTTGACCTGTTTGATGTTGATGCTTGCTGGTTGGCCACAAGAGCCACATTTCTTGTTTCGGGTTCATCAGCATCCTTTGGTTCATGCTCAAACTCGTAGGCCTTAAGATCACTGAAGATCTTGGTTGTGCTTGTGGTCTTCATGTCTCGGTGATCTCTCATTGCTGTGACCTTCATCTCCCAAGACTTCGGTAGGCCACGAAGGATCTTCAAGTTCTTTTTTTTTTTCGGATAATTCCTTCCCGAGAGCAGACAGATTACCCATGAGCCTGGCGAACCTTAGTTCCATATCTGTGACAGCTTCATTCGGCAGCATCTTGAAGTCCTCGAACTTCTTCATGGCCACTGTCAGTTTGTTGTCCTTCTCTTGTTCATCTCCTTCACCCAGGTTCATCAGAACATTCCAGATCTCCATAGCATTTTTGCATTTTCGGACTCTGGGGAACAAGGAGTCGTCGAGAGAGTTGTAGAGAATGTTTCGTGCTACATTATCCAGGTTCGCTCTTGTTTTTTCCTCCGATGTGAGTTGACACTTCGGCTTTGGTATCATCTGATCAGCACCTGCTCCTTGTGCTGCAGCTTGTGTATTCGCCATCATGATGGTGATTGGTCCTGTGGTTATTACATCCCACATTTCGTCATGTATTGCTGAAAGAAGAGCCTGCATCCTGATCTTCCAATCATCAAATTTGGAAAGGTTAAAGGCAAGATTCTTTGTATGATTAGCATGATCTTTTTCCATTTTTACGAAAAATGTGCAAAGCTGAAAATATGCAACTTTTTCAGAAAACTTTTTGATAAGGGATCTACCAGGCAGTAAATGCAAAGCCTTTACCGATCAAGGTATTGGCTCTGATACCACTTGTTGGTCCCGGTAGGGTTAGAGCGAGAGTCTAGAGGGGGGGGGGGGGTGAATAGACTCTCTTCAATTTTCGGCAAATATCAACCTCTCGGGGTTGTAACGCAGCGGATAGATTAAATTAGTTTTAGTTGCTTTGCACAGTTTGAAGTTATAAAGTAGTTTTCGGTTTTAGACGAATGATGATGCAATGCTTGAAAAGTAAAGCACGAAAGTAAGAAGATAAAGAGACGAGAGTTTTTATAGTGGTTTGGCCAACTTTGCCTACTCCACTCTTCTTCCACAACTTATGGAAGGTTTGCACTATCACTCGTTAGTACAAATACACACAGAAGCTTCCTTGATCACTAAGCCGGACAGCTTCCTGTAGGTTTTTCAACTCCGCGAGTTTACTCCGCCTCTATCAACGTCTTCTTCCGAGTTGAGGTTGGTAGAAAGTGTTTTCTGATTTCTCCAACACGATGAAGTCTTGACTGAGTATGGATGACTGCTTCGTACAAGATGCAAGACTTCTTCAAGGTGGAAGATGAAGATTGATGAACTTCTTTAAGAAATCTTCATGCCTTGAAAAACTGGTTCGCAAAAGCTCGGTAAGAAGATGAGCTTATACAAGAGCTTTTGCTTGAGAGTAATGATCGAGTGAAAAGAACCAGCACCTTCTAAGTTGATGAAGGTGGATATTTATAGATGTAGAAAATTTCATCCGTTGGAGGGAGATGAAATTGCAAACCTATTATCCAGTGGGTAAGGACCGGGGAGCTTGGCGCAATAAATGCTCCATTAATGCGGCTTGTACCATGTAGCCGTTGTAGACATGAACAACCTTAGGGTTTTTGTCTTTTAGCTTCTGAAGAATAGTACAACTTCATTTAATGCTCCTTGGTATATGTGTCCCACACTTTAAGGTCCTTTTGTCTCCATGATGGTTGATCAACTCAGACAGTAGAGACATTCTTCTCGTTATGGAAGAGAATGAGTGTCTTAATAAATTTTCATAAAGGTTACTGTCTTGTCGAGATGGTTGACAACCTGAGGTGATCTTTCGTTGTTGAAGCCTTGATTTCGTGCTCTTTGTTCCTTTTCGCTTTGGCAGACCTAACTAATGATCATAACTCGATTTTCGTGTGTTTGTCTAACTTAACACGAATTACAGGATGAGTTATGGCAACTTTCGTCTAGAACGAAAGCAGCGATGGAAGTAATGAAAGTTAGGGGTCTACATTCTAAGTTACATTGGTATCATCAAAATCCTAATACAAGTGTTCCTTACAGAACGCCCATGTGCGAATATGCGAATGTCTGATATCCGTCCACGTGTCCAGATCTAATGGATGAGATACACTGATTTTTTTAAAAAATACGGTGGCATTTTCGTAAATAATTGAACATCAAAATGCAAGTAAAGTTTACACTGAGCATCAATACTAAGTGCACGGCCGAACAGAACGACCCTCTCTATTATAATGTAGTATCTATTCATATAGTTTCTCAACCTACTGAAACACAAAGAACCAATAACCCCTCCACTGAGGCTCGAACTTACAACCTCCCAAATGAAAGTCCAACCCGGGTACCATTAGACCATATAATCTTGGTATAGTAATGAGTACTTAAAGCTTCATGTAACTACTAAAAACTTAATTAAATAATATTTTATTGTTGTGTAAATTATTATTTTAAATTGTTAAAAATGTTATTAATTGTTGATCAATAATGCTGGTTATTTGGCCTTTTGTTGAGAAGAGTTAATCTTCTTTGTTGATGGATTCTTCTCGAATAGATTTAGGTAGGTTTTAATATCTTATATTTCCATTCTCCTGGCGAAGATCTATCTTCTTCCGGTGAGGTAAAAAATTTTTGTGAAGAAGGTTTGATCTTCCGGTGATGAATGCCTAATGATGCATATTATATTTATAATAAAATTTTGAAAAGTTTTACAAATATTCAATCTTAGAATAATTTAAATATAAAATTTAAATTATTGTCATCTTTATTTGAAAGGTTCGTAACAGAAGTTTTATATCTTGGATGGTGATTTTAATTTCACTTTTATTGCCTATTTTTGGAGATTGTATTTGCCCTATAACATTTTCTTAATTTTTTTCTCTTATTGTTGAATTATCTTATTGCAACGTGAATAATTTGTCAACTTCTTATATCTCACAAGTTTAATGAGATAATTTAAATGACTCATACAGGATAATTAAAATCTTATTAAAAAAATGTATATGATACACATATGGAGTTCTTGATTCTTCTGTTTTCCTTGTCCCTAACACACGAGACATCCATGAACACAAGTTCTGGCCAGGTGCAATGTGGTAAAGAAAATAATAATTGGATTCGACTAAATTCAGTTTATGCATGTTACGTGACTTGATTTTATTATAAGGAAAAGAAAAGAAAATAATAAAAGATGTGGTCCATATTTTTTTGAATAAATCAAAGTTTATTGTGTCATGTAAGTAGGGAGTAAAATGGAATATAGAGTGAGAATATGTATAATATTACTCATGCAGTAAAATCAATGTATCTCTACTCTCAAGGTAGGTAATTATTAATTTGGCTAGACTTTAACTCCAAAACTCTAACAAAGTACATGCCTTAAGGGCTTAAACATCTGTAATGATTAGATAAATTAACATCAACATTGACACTCGTTATTATAGAGAGAAGGACGGCCAAATCAGATAGAACAAGAATCAAACCATCATGCAATTCCTCATCATCATCAAGTGAATTCATCCTTTAATTTCTTAATTAATCTTGGTGCATTAATTTCATGAGTCAGTCGTGATGATTTCATTATGTTTCACAAATGCATTGAAAGCTACTAAATTATATTAAAGCAGTCATCATTATATTGTACTCACGAAGATGGCGTCACTTCAATTCACATAAGCTAATCTTAAGGCTTTAGGCTTTACTCTGTCCTACCCCCCTTCTCTTTCATGCCAAAGAGAAAGCAATTTCACTATCTAGGAAAAAATGAAAATTCTTAATTCAATTCCCCCTTATACTAGAAGGAGAAGAAGAAGCCAAGTAGCTTGTAACTCAATGTCATTTATGTGACTTTCAATTCACAGATAAGAGGTCACAAGTTCAAACTTTAAGGGAGAGGGGTATAATTTCTTTGTGCTTCATTAGGTTGAGAAAGTATATATATGTATAAATAAATACTATATTGTAATAGAGTTAATAGACTAAAAGAAAACAAAGAGAAGAAGAAGAATCATGACCCATAAATGAATCCATGCCAATCTGACATTCAGTGTATCAGTAGAAATAGAAAATTGTGGGGAAGGGGGAGCAAATGAAAGGAATAAGAATGACATGTTGTATTACAAAAAATTATGGTTCTCATTCAATAATATCGTCTAGTACCATCAAATAGTGGAAAAATATATATTAGGATTTTATGTATTTGAGTTAGATTATGACTCCCTATCTTAGTTTGTATGTGATTCTCTTATTGTATATATACCTGTAATCTGTATCTTTGTAATTATCTTATTCAATACAATTATACAGTTCTTATCATCTGGTATCAGCTTACTAGGGTTTCTTTCCCATGGTTGACAGATATGTTAATTCCTCTGAACGGTCTCTAATTTTGTTATCTCTTCGGTCTCCTCGACCGTGAGTTCTTTATCCACTACCCACCAATTTATTAGTATCAAACTGACATACAAGAATTTTTTGTTTTAGAGAACTCAAGTTGTTCATTTTTTCTGTGGGCATGATCTAATGGGTTTTATTGATGATGCAAACCCTTGCCCAATGGCTTTGCTTCCCTCCCGCGATGACTGAACACCACCGCAACCGAACCCTGCTATTGATCTTGCTAAAATTTCTTGTTTTGGAGAACTCAAGTTGTGCCTATATATATATATATATATATATATATATATATATATATATATATATATATATATATATATAAAATTAGGTTCAAATGCTATATATATATATATATATATATATATATATATATATATATATATATAATTAGGTTCAAATGCGATTGCTGCGCCCATGTGCTGTTATATCGGAGCTATTGATCTTACTTAAATCAACGTCCATGATTACCAAAAAAATTTTTAAAAAATGCGATGGTAATTTGGTAATTTTTTCATCTATGTCAAATTTTAAGGTGCGTGGGTTTTGTGCTTAAGGTGCATGAGTTTTGTGCTTAAGGTGTGTGAGTTTTGTGCTTAAGGTGTGTGAGTTTTGTGCTTAAGGTGTGTGGGTTTTGTGCTTAAGGTGCGTGAGGTTTGTGCTTAAGGTGCGTGGGTATTGTGCTTAAGGTGCGTGGGTTGTGTGCTTAATGTGAGTAGTTGTTGAAACTTAAGGTGTGTGGTTTTCCTTCTCAAGGTGCGTGGGTTCTGTGTGCTTAAGGTGCGTGATTTTTGTTTTTTTAAGGTGCGTGTGTTTTGTGCTTAATGTGAGTAGTTGTTGAAACTTAAGGTGTGTGATTTTCCTTCTTAAGGTGTGTTGTTTTCTTTCTTAAGGTGCGTGATTTGTATGCATAAGGTGCGTTAGTTGTGTGAAACTTTAGGTGAGCTATTTTAAAACCATAAGTGCGTGGTTTTTGTTCTTAAGGTGCTTTGATGTGTGCTTAAGGTGCATGGTTTATGTACTTAAGTGCGTGGTTTGTGTTCTTAAGGTGCTTTGTTTGTGTGCTTAAGGTGCGTGGTTTGTGTACTTAAGGTGCGTCAACCGCACAACCACATGAGAAGCCATCCCCGTACTTAAACCCTTCCATATATATATATATATATATATATATATATATATATTAATATTAAAGAACATTTGATTTTGATTGAATCAGTAATTATTAATTTTAGTTGAATATTGTGATTATTTATGATTTGTGTTGA